GCCTAGGGTGAACGGGCCGAGGATATCCATCCCCCACCAAGCGAAGGGTCAAGGGGAGGAAAGAGATTTGAGCTTGCTCGGAGGGGCAAGGTGCATGTCCCCGTGGTGCTGACACCTGTCACACTTCCTGACGTGTTCTTTCGTGTCCTCCTGCATCGTTGGTCAGTAGCATCCAGCCCGTAAGACTTTCCTCGCCAAGGACCGTCCTCCGAGGTGTTGCGTGTTGATGCCTTCGTGCACCTCTTGCCGAATGGTCGAGGCTTGGGTTTTGTCGACGCATTTGAGGAGGGAGATCGAGAAGCCCCTTCGATAGAGTTTTCTGTCGAGCAGGACGTACGAGCAGGATCGTCGTTTGACCGCGCCGGCCTCCTTAGCATCGTCGGGAAGGCGCCCCGTGTTGAGGTAGGCATGTATGAGTGCCATCCAACAATTGGCATCCCCAATGACGTTGATGTCGAGCAACGTTTCACCCTCTCCGTGCTCGGTTGCGGGAGGATCTCTTGGACGACGGACTTGCGTCCACCTTTCTTTTTGGTGCTCGCCAACTTTGAGAGGATGTCTGCCCGAGTGTTCTGCTCGTAAGGTACGTGATGTACTTCCGCGGAGTCAAAACTCTTCATCCGTTCCCTTATGAGGCCTAAGTACTCGGCTAGATTGTCATTCTTCGCCTGGTATCTTACCGAGTACTTAGGCCTTATTGATATCTTACTCGTGAAGGGAATGTAGAGGGCCTTGCTCGTGAAGTACTTAGGCCTCATAAGGGAATGGATGGAGAGTTTCGACTCCGCAGAAGTTCCTTCCACGAGCAAGGCCCGCGCCGCTTCCCGAGGGGCTTGAGGCGCCATCGACGAAGATGGTCCACTTGTGAGTTCCTGGGGTTGACTCTGTTGCGAGAGTCATCTCGGCGACGAAGTCATCCAGAACTTGGGTATTGAGGGCTTTTCTGCCTTCGTAGACGATATCAAACTTGGAGAGTTCTAGCGACCACTTCAGCGTGCGTCCAGCCATGTCGGGTCGGTCGAGCAGCTGCTTGATAGGTTGCTCGGTTCTGACTACTATGGTATGGGCCAGAAAATAGTACTGGAGGCGCCTGACCGCGTTGATAAGGGCCAGGGAGACTTTCTCGATTTGTTGATATCTTACTTCCGGACCGTGGAGGGCATTGCTCGTGAAGTAGATTGGTTTCTGCCCGTCAGGAGTTTCCCGTATCAGCACGGCGCTCACGGCCTCGTTCGATACGGCCAAGTACAGGTATAGGGTTTCCCTGGCCTCGAGCCTCGTCAATACGGGAGGCTCTGATAGGACGTATTTGAGGTGGAGGAGGGCTTGTTCGCATTCCTCTGTCCACTCGAACACAACCTCCTTTCTCAGTAGCTTGAAGAACGGGAGAGTGTGTTGTGCGGACTTGGCGACGAAATGGGATAGAGACGCGAGCATCCTGTTGAGGGACTGTATTGATTTCTTTGTGCTCGGCGTCGTGAGCTCGGAGAAGGCCCGACACTTGTTCGGGTTCGCCTCGATCCCGCGTTCGGTCAGGTAGAATCCGAGGAACTTCCTTGCGCGTACTCCGTAGGTGCATTTCTCCGTATTGAACCGCATCCTGCACTTCCTCACCGTCTCGAAGACCTTCTTGAGATATGCCGTGTGGTCGACTTCCGTGCAGGACTTGACCATCATGTCGTCCATGTAGACCTCGATCATGTCGCCAATCTCTCCTCGGAAGACCTTGTTCATCATCAGTCGGTAGGTGGCGCCGACGTTTTTTAGGCTGAAGGGAATTACGTTGAAGTAGTAGTTGCCCGACTCGGTCATAAACACCGTGCTATGTTTGTCGGCTTCGTTTATGGGGATCTGGTTGTACCCCGAGTATGCGTCCATGAAGGACAGTAGTTTGAAGCCCGCCGAGTTGTCGACGAGATTGTCGATGTTGGGGAGGGGGTATGCGTCCTTAGGACATGCCCAGTTGAGATTTGTGTAGTCAACGCACATCCTCCATTTTCCATTTCATTTTTTAACGAGTACAACGTTGGATAGCCAGGTTGAATACTGGGCTTCCGAAATAAAATTTGCCTCTAGGAGGTCTTTTACAGCTTTTTCGGAAGCCACCGACTTTTCGAGAGACTGCCTACGCCTACGTTGTACTATGGCCCTAGCAGTCGGGTTGATGGAGAGCTGGTGGCAGGCAACCTCGGGGTCGAGTTCGGGCATCTCTGCAGCGCTCCAGGCGAAGATGTCGATGTTCTCGCGGAGGCAGACCTTCAGCTGCTTCCTCGCCAGGTCGGGCAGCCCTGCCCCAATCTTCACGGTCTTCATCGCGTCCGCTCCGAGGATCACGATCTCGAAGTCCCGTCTAGAGTGGGGAACATTGGGTGGATAGGTTGCCCGTTGGTTGTTGGAGGAGTGTTGCCGGCTTTATCCCCGTGGTCTAGTTCTTCGGCGAAATCGCAGTCGAGGTCTACGGTGTCGACGTGATCCTTCGGTTTGATCTCCTGGACGGGGGAGGGCTTAGTGGCTTTGATCGCGGGACCGATCGTGCTAAGGCCCTTCATTGTTTCTTCAAAGCATCGCTGGGCAGCTTCTATGTCCCCGTTGAGAGTGACGACGGCTCCCAGCCTGGTGTAGTACTTCATCTTCAGGTGGACGGTCGATGGCACGACGGTTAGTTCGGCCAGCGTTGTCCTGCCTAGGATGCAGTTATACACAGATGGGCATTCGACGACCAGAAAACGGACGTTGATTTTCCTGGCCGTTTCCTTTTCCCCGAAGGTGACCTTGAGTTCCATGTATCCCCATGGCCTCGTCGTTGTCCCGTTGAAGCCTTGGAGGTCGGAGCCCAGGTTGGTCTCGTCGAGGTGGAGCGTCGAGAAGAGGTGGGTATACATGATATACACCGAGCTTCCTCCATCGACTAGGATGCGACGAACATCGAAGTTGACCATCTGTGCCCGTATTAGCAGAGGGATGGCCGAGTTGGGGGCTCCCTCGGGGAGCTCTTCGAGATAGAAGGTGATTGGGTTGGATCGTCCTTGGAACTTATCGACTGTGTTCATCTTGCCTGCGCTGCTGCTTATTAGTTCGTCGAACTTTCTTTTAACCGACCCGATCGTGAGCTTGCTCGGGGTCCCGCCTGAAATGACCATTGCCCTGGGGAAGTATTCTCAGCGGCTGACAGGGCGTATTGGCTCCTCGGGTAGCTGAAGCTCGGCAGGGAGACCGAACTCTCTTAGTGCGAATCAGTCCTCAGGTCGCCCAACACTGAGGGCCACCTGTAAGTCGGAATCGTTGTTGGGAGGGGGGAGGTCCTCGACTCTTTTGGCCTCGGGGGCTTCTTGTCGCGGGGGCTCTCCTCCCCGGGTATACCTCTTTAGATGCCCATCTTTGATTAAGATTTCGATTGCATCTTTCAGGTGGATGCAATCCTCGGTCACGTGCCCATGGCTTCGGTGGAAGCACCAGTATTTGGATTTGTCCATGTTGGCTTTGGTGGGGGCCGGTTTTGGAAAACGGACACCTCCCCGGACAATATTAATTTTATACTATAAGTTGTATTGTCTTTGAGTTTTCTTGGATCTACTCACGACTTGTTAGATATGATAATGGAGGGGGCGGGGATGGTTTTTATCTTTCTCAAACTCGAATCCTCTAACAATCTTTGTTCCCCGTTTCAATTACAAACAAGAATGAAAAAATTAAAATTCAAACCGGTCTCAAATAAATTCGAGTTGGGTTCAAATATCCTGTCTCGTCACCATCTATTTAGTGAAATCAAATTTTAAATAGAGTTTTTTTTTCAACATCAAATTACATTACAAGTAATTAAATAAAATAATGTTTCAAATATTTTAAATAATAAATACAAATTAAAATATCAAAACATTATCACATATTTAATATTTTAAATCATTAAATTAAATAATAATCTACATAATAAAGTGAATGAGGCGGGTTCGAAAGCGGATTCCTATTGGGTACTAGTATCTCCATTTTCCGACTCGTCCCCATATTTTAAAATCAGAGAAAACTTAAATCCAAACTCAAATTCAGTAAATGTGAATTTTTCCCATCAATTTCATGGTAAATTCGAGTGGATTCTCGTAGATACGAGTTATGTTGTCATGCGTACAATCTGCCATTTAAAAATAAAATTCGATGTTTTGAGTTATAGGACACAATTCTAAATTTATTTTTAATTTATTTTTAATTAAAATGTTAATAAAAATAATTTTTAAAGATGAAAAATTTGAAAACTTAAACTAAATGAACATCAAGATTTATATATGATTCTTTGCTATTGAAGATATTTAGTGTAGGAATAGAGAAAAGTAATTTTTCATAGACATATTTTGTGTTCCCAATCTCAGAAGCCATAGTTACTTTAGGTTAATGAATTTAAAAATAAAGAGACTTAAAGATGTTATTTTGAAAATTTGATTAATAAAAACAAATTAGAAGAATATTATAGTATAGAAAGATCTATATTAAACTATTTTTTGTTAATTTTGAGCGGTAAATAGCGAATGAATGCATGTGGAAAACAAATAATAATGAGAAATTAAAAGAGTTAATGCATATTAAATTCCAAAAGGACGTATTTATAATTAAAAGAACTAATTTATTAATTATGCAATATAATATTTTTTAATGACATGGTTAACGAGGTTAATGAAATACAATTGGCGAATTCTGATTAATGACACATCAGTTGGGTAATTTTACCTAACTTTTCTAAAAGGATAACGAAGTTCTTCTCTATAAAAAAAAAATGTCTCATTTATATATATTTTAAAATAATTGTCCATTTACATTTTTAATTTAATATTTATTATTATATCTCCTATTTATTAATAACTTTTACTTTATTCAATTATTTTATGAACTATTTTAATAAATATATTATAATTAATGATATTAAAGTTTTCACTAAGGCACCAATAGTTCTGGTTAGTGACAAAAGAACTGCATATTTATTTATCCTTTCAAAAAATGTAACTAGACTGATAATGGCTACTCTGAGATTTTTCTGCGCCACAAACCTTTCTCTCTCAATTCAAAACAACGGTTCTTCTTAAACTCTTTCTTACTCTCTCTTTTCTCTTTCTATATCTATCTATGTATCTAACTAATATGCATTTCCAGCGAAATTGGATAACAAGTGTATTACTCAGAAGGTGAAGAACCTCGTCAACACTGTTCAATTTCCTTCCATTTCATCATCATCATCAACTCCACTTGAGTCTCTTCAGAGAGGTACTTGGGTCAAACTCATCTGTGGTGCAAGCTTCGAAGATGTTGTTGATATCAGAAATCTCACTTTGGTTTACACTCTCGCTGGAGGTATTGATTAATTAACCTTTTCTATTTATTATAAATTTTAATTTATCATTTATTTCTTATTAGGCTTTTTGAAATTGAAACCCTAATATTAATCTTATAGTATAGGTTAATCTACTAGCATAAATGTTAATGGAGTGTTTCGGGGAATGTATGAAAATACTCCCTCCGTTTCAAAATGAATGCCGTTTTAGCAAATATAATTTGTTTCAAAATGTTGCAGTTGACTGTATTGATTGTGCTGCTGATGCATCGGTTGTGAGTGCTGTGAATGAAGGAATTGAAGCTGCAAGAGACATCTTATGCGGCCTTAGAAAGCCGTGGGTGATGATCAGTGTCAATGATGATAAAGATCTTCACTTTCGCAAAGCTCGTAAGACAATTCTTATTCAACTTGTTTTCTAAATATCTTAGCTTGTCCGCAAATCCTAGCTCAACTAGCAGAAGCCGATATTGTTAGGTTGGATGCCATCACCAGGGGTCGAACCTTGGTACTCTCGGTTGTGTGTGTGAGTTTCTAGTAGTCATTACTACTTCGTCTACAAACCAAAGAAGAAACCTTAGCTTAATCTACCTGACTGAGAAGTAATGCATTCTTAACAGAATTTGATCCAGAGGACTGTCCAGCAGAGTGTTCAAGGCCATGTGAAAATGTCTGTCCTGCGAATGCAATCTCATTCCAACGGAAATCTGCTTTGCAAATTTTATATGATAACAGCGCACCAAGAGTAATGAATGCTTTGGCCGATTTTCCTTTAAAAGTTCAAAGTGCTTTCTTATAAAACTTGTATTGTTCAATTGGCTTCATTATGCAGGGTGGTGTCATAACGGAACGCTGCTACGGCTGTGGCCGCTGCCTTCCAATTTGTCCCTATGATAAAATAAGTTCGGCATTTTCCAATTCTATCAGAGATTATAAATTCTTAGCTTTTTCTAAATTATTTATTCAATTCAATATTTTTAGCGGCTAACAATACGTACTTTTCGTTTATTGATTCAGGAGATGTAACATATGTTAGGGATGCTTTTACAACTGCTAATCTGATCAAGAGAAATGATGTTGATGCTATAGAGATACATACAAGTGGAAGGTAATATCATTGTTCTATGAAACACCGACGCAATACACACAGCGCTGACACTGACACGAATTATAATTTAAAAGATGGAAGAAATTGAATACAACCAGACACACTTTTAATCTGAAATGTCAGTGCTACCGAGATTATTGTTGATTGATGTTTCAAAACCATTTTTTCGCATGAATATGATCCTTCGATAGGCAGAGTAAACAGTTTGAAGAACTCTGGCTTGCTTTAGGAGACTCAGTAGAAAATTTGAAGCTAGTAGCAGTAAGTAGTTCCTTCAACCTGTTCTATATTATTTTCATTTGATTCAACGATTTACTTATTAAAATGATTCAGGTTAGTTTACCTAATGTTGGAGATTCAACAATATCCTCTATGAACAAAATGTTCTCGATTATGAAGCCCAATCTTCAAGCCTTAAACTTATGGCAGGTGTGGCATTTCTCTCTTTTCACATATTGAACAACTTCAAATTCTTATAAGTGAATTCTATTCGATATTTCTTTTAACAAATCCGTCTTTGCCTTGTATAAACTCAAGTTAGATGGCCGTCCGATGAGTGGAGATATCGGGAGAGGAGCAACTAAGGAGTCAATAGCTTTTGCCACTCAATTGGCTAAAGCAAAAGATAGACCTTCCGGTTTGTATTCATTAATCAAGTTACGGTCCTTTGAAAACCTTCATAGGACCCATTTGTAGGTCATGATAGATTCGAGATTGATAGAATATGAACATGATAAAGTCGTTTATCTTATCTTACCGGTTTCCAACTCAACTACAATTCACGATAAGATGAATATGTCATATGATTAACTTATCATATCTTGACAATTTGTTAAACACTAGATTGAAATATAATATGAATCTATGATACCTTATTGTATCTCGACTCTGTAATCATGGCCGTTGAACGGGCCTTTAGGGTCTGTATCTATCACGATTCAACTGATTTTTCATTTCTTAACGCGGTAGGATTTCTTCAACTTGCTGGTGGAACTAATGCTTACACAATTGAAGGATTGAAAAAAGAAGGACTCTTTCAAACAACTATTACAGGTAATGCTCTCACTTTGTTACTTAATATTTTTTGAACTCTCTTGTTACTTGCTCTTTTTCTTTCTCAATTGCATTACAAGAGTTCTTGTTTGTTCTTAGAATACTTGGATCATGAAGAGTCATCAAACACTACATCTAATCCATCATGTGCTTTAATTAGCGGCATCGCTTATGGTGGCTATGCGCGAAAGGTAACACAATTTATGTCTGATTATTCATTTTTCATTCGGTTTCTCTCCGTAATTTTCTGTCGTTAAATAAAAGAATAGATGCGAGTCACAACTAGAGTCACATTATGTGATGACTTTGATATGCTAATTTTTACAATCTTACTATTTGCATACATGTTCAGATTGTTGGTAGAGTGTTGAGATCCATGCAATCGCAACATGGTGGAGCTGCGGCAATCGAGGATCATCCTGAGCATCTGTTATTGGCTCTAACGGAAGCACTTGCTTTGGTTGGACCTGTAAAATGTCTATAATCTATGACAACCTCACTTCACTTGATTGAAATCTTGGTCTTGGAATTATGGTGTGTATAAAATTAAATGATTTCAAGCTTGTAAAAACATTTTAAGTCCTCAGATTCATAATCACAGATTTGATTTGTTTCATGTCTTGATTTGGAGTGTGATGCACTCTCTTAATTTGTACACAATTGTGAACAACAATTTTGACTATCTATTGTTATTGTTGTTTATGATGAGTCACATATACTTTGAACAATTTTGTCTATTAGGAACATGACTTATGCTTCTTGACAAATAAAGAGTTTTGCAATTGTACAGAGTATTCTATTTTGATATAAATTAGTCCTTGAGATACATCTTCGAACGCACCACAATATACACATTTCATTTGTTTTTGAGTTATACTTCAATTTTATAAATAAATTTATTTCAGAAACTGAAAATCTACTTTAACAAATAGAATGTGGCATATAGTGTTATGGGATAAAACTGTAACTTTGTTAAAAACACAATTATATAGTCCATGAAGTAACTAGCTGCCTCAAATACTTCCACAAACTTCTATTGATTACGATTTCACCTTCAAATTCATTCATTTGTCTTAAAAACACTGTACAATGTTCTATTTTTTCTCACATTGAAGCAAATAAGTGGTATATAATTAACTTTATTGATGACCATGTAGCTTTGATACGATTATCTAATATAAATGAGTAGAGTTTGTTTGGATCAAGAGACTATAAGATACACTTGATATCTTATTTGTATCACTATAATTTAATCAGATTGTTGTTGAGTAACAAGCAATTTATGTATTAGAAATTATTGTTGCACAAGAAATTAATAGCATTCTTTTTAAATTATTGTTGTATAAGAAACTGAGAGCATTCTTTTTAATCAACTTAGAAGAAATCAAAGTAATTACATTTTTACTTATAAATAAAAACTAATATTTATACATATAACTCTAAATATTTTCATATATTTTAATTATGTACTTTATTTCACTAAATATATTCAAATGTCTTGGTTATGATGTACTCCTAGCAGTGTAAAAGAAGTTATAGGAATATTTAAAGGGAAATTGCAAGTAAAACGGATTTGTCATGAAAAATTTAAAGGAAAATTGCAAGTAAAATGGATTTGTCATGAAAAATTTAAAGGAAAATTGCAAGTAAAATGGATTTGTCATGATTTCTCTTTAAAATGTTCCGTTGAGACATTTTGAAAATATGGTTGCGAACATGCAATGTTATGTCAAAGTTGTTTGGTGCCACATCTATTTATTAAACAGACTTTTCAAATTTTGAAAATACATTTTCGAAAATTTTCTAGAAATATATTTTCGGAATAAATTTATTCATAAAATTAAAGTGTGACTCAAAAACGAATGAAATGTGTGTATTTGGTGTGTCCGGAGATGCATCTCCGAAAATGAAAGATATTTTTGAAAATTCGCATGATGCATTAGAAACATATAAGATGCTTTAAGAAATTCTTCTAAAATAGTTACAGATAAGGGAATTGTATACAGGTACTACCCACGTATGACCCAGAGCTATGCTCTTACAAGGAAGCTTACCCCTCCCTTCTCATGACTAATTTCTAATTACTAAGGATAACTACTCAACCCCAGCCTCTCATTTCTTATAATTGATCGCGACTTTCTATGTCTAATACAACTTAACTGCAAGTGCACAGTCTATCGCGTAGTAATAAAAGATATCGATCCCACAGGGACTCGTAATCAAACTAGTGTTCTCGGGAGTTACTATGTTTAGCTAGGTAGATAATGTTTAAGGAAATATTTTTTGTCACTAAAGGGAACTAAAAACGTTACTTGAATTATAATTACGTGAATCGATATGCAGTAATTATGTTCTTCGAGGATTTGACAAGTTACCGGTATATGAAATATTTTTCAGAATTTATTTAAGCAGAAAATAGTGATCTGAAGACTTTCGTCTCACGATGGTTGTTGACGCTAGTCATAATTCTAAGGGCCAAATGTACGCTTTCGCGTCCCATCCGGGGTTAAAACTATTTTTTGGAAATCTCTAAGTTCTAATTCATTTTAAAGTGCTTTCGCTGTTATTAAAACAAATGACTAATGTTTACTATCTGGTCTTGCCGCAGCTTTCGCTTGTTGGTTCGTACCTTAATTAATTTCCCACTGTCGTGGCAAAACTACTTTTAAATAAGTTCTCGCTTTCGCGACGAACGTTTATTCAGTAAATAAATTTAAACACTCAGACCATAAACAACTTTTGAAAAGGAAAGTTTTCAACCGGTTATTATCAAATCCCGTCTGAATTATTATTACATATTGATTACTCTGATTTAGCTAGACATGGATTTGGAAAAGGTAAAACATGAATAAAAACAGTGATTAATAACATGCATCATAATGAAAACTGAAATTACGATTAAAATTTAGAACCTGTAAATATTCCAATTGGCCTTTGGGCAGATCCTCCACATATGTTGGCAGGATTCTGGTCTATGTGCCAATTGATCGTACAAGGGAAATGGGAATTACAAAATCTCAAATAATGCAGAGAAAGAAAAGAGAAACAAATAAGAATAGAAAAAAAATGGAAAGGTTGCTCTGAAGATAAATTGGCAGCACTTCGTTGTCTGAATGCGACTCCCTTTCTCAGCTCCCCTCCTTCCCCTTTTATAGAAATAGAATTCTAACAGTTGTAATTTGAAGAAGGTGGACTTGGAGGCAGAAATATCAGGGAGTAGTGGTCCATTATTTGGGACTTGGAACTGTATTTTGCACGTTCATTTGAAGTAGTGCGTTTTTGCCTGCATGACGGTCGTCACGGTGTGCGACGGTCGTCACCCGTGTGACGGTCGTCATGGAGGTGTGACGGTCGTCACAGCAGCAAAATATGCGTTCTGCGTTTTTCATGTTGTTTTCATCTGGTTTTCGTCCATATTTCATCTGTAATTGCTTTTTTTCTTCACATTGCTTTGTTTAGACATGATTATCAAATACCTACAAAATATTAGACAAATAACATGGAAAGAACTCGAAATCGGATCGAAAACAGTCAAACATCAGTTGAATTATGCATCAATATATATATACGATTTCGTGTTATCAAACTCCCCTAAGCTTGAATCTTTGCTTGTCCTCAAGTAAAACAGGAAAAAGTCGGCAAGCACGAGGCAGCTTCCTCATTCACAAAGTTGGGAAAAACCGGGATTCTTAGTAGGAACAAAACGAGTACGGTGACGACACTGGACTACAAGTCTTCGGAGGTCTCCTTCTTATGCAAATCGGTCCCAGTCATGCTACTGTAGCTTGGTGTCAAGGTTCTCGCGTCAAGTTCACCCTGTTTGTTCTAGCGCAATCACATTAAGCCCGTTGTCCATGCATTTTCATGGCAAGTCGACCTGTTAGTGAATATGATCTCCTTTCTGTTTTGATCTTTTTCATTGCTCATAAGCTTATACCATTGATTTTTCAATGAGTTTTCGTACCGTTGGGCTAAATGCTCGGGTGAGGAGCACCTAACTTAGAGGGAACGCGTCTTTATATTTGGGCTAAATGGCTTTCTTTTCATGATTTTTCATCTTTTTGGAGATCATACACTTATTTGCATTGGTCGCTCGCTTAGAAGTGTTTTAGGATGGTGCTGACTGCTAGTATAAACTACTTGGGGCTGAGTTTGTGTAGACACTTGAAACTTTGGTACACGTAGGTAGTGAAACCGACTCGCATAAACCGGAGATCTAAGGTGTCAGGACGGTACTGGTTTTGTTAGAATTGTCGTCTCGGAGTTTCAAAACTTGGTTTGAACTTGGGCGCATTCTCGTGATGCTTTTGCTTTTGAGGAACGAACGAATTTTTTTTTGTTTACGTCGAATAAAGTGGGGATGTTTGCGTAACGGAAAAAAGATATATAAAAGAGCTTTTATTTGCTAATACGTGAAAATGTTCGAATTGAAATTACGGAATTAAAAGTACAAGGGAATGGGAAATAAACGCTCCGCTCCCACACTATCTCAATCAGTGTCCCCACTGATTTGAAAGAATGTGAGAGGGAAATACAAGGTAAATGAAAATACAAAGAAACTGAAAATATAGTAAACAAATAAGGAAAAGAATAACTAATCACGGCCTCTGCCTCGGTCACGTCCTCTCTCGCGTCCTCTGGCTCTGACTTGGTCGACGCGGTCCTCAAAGCTCATTGCTCCGGTATGGTAGACATAGTCGCGGAGTCCTTCGAACTGCAAGGTCAGATTCGACAAGTTCTCAGTAATGGTTTCCTGGCCGGTTTGGAGTTGTTGCATTTGGGTCCGATGCCAAGCTTCGAACTGCTCAGCTCGCTGATTCTGCTGCTGCATCATAGCGAGTATCTGGGCCTGCTGGTCGAGGGATCGGCGGAGGTCTTCTTCAGAGTAGTCGGGCTCTGGACGATAGCGGCGGCGGCGGCGGTAGGATGTGCCCTCAGAAGGAAGTGGTTGCGATGCCTCCGGTTGCTCAGGTCTGTCCAACTCATCTTGGATTTCGTCATCAGAACCTTGGGTGTGGGTCTGAGTTGGAGCAGCGGCAGCAGCAGGGGCATTGAGGTCAAATAGCCAGTTGGCACGATCCTGTGGGTGCATCCGGGTGCGTGATGGTAGGATGATACTTCTGACGGTTTTGCCACGCACGACCGGGTGGTATTTGCCGTCGGCCCTGGAACGGATGAGGTGAGAGGCTCTGCAGTGGTCGGTGTCGAGGAACACCGAGGGAATGGCATGGAGATGCTGGAGGCGGTCGCCGAGGTTCAGCCCAAGTGCAATGGAGGTAACAATCCCGCCAAAGTAAAATGGCTTAGAGCCACGGTTACAGTTGGCCTGAATGTGGGCCAGGAGGAACGGAGCGGCGTTGATAGGCTCGTTGTTGAAGACACAGCGGAGAAAGAAGAGCTCTTTCGAGTTCACCTTATGGTTGTTATCCCGGGCGAAGATGGTGTTGCTCAGTGCTCGGTGGAAATACCGGATGGTCGGGTTGT